CAGGAGACGGGCAAGCGCAAGCCCACCGCCACAGCCGCGAGCGGTGCCTGCTGTGGCGGCGCCGCAAGCACAGGCCCCACCTGGATTGCTGAGGAAGGTACAGACGCCTCGCCGGCAGCCACCGCCTGCGCCGTCGGCGCCACCACCGTGCCTACTGTTGCCGCTTGGGCTGGCCCGCTCGCCGGCGCCGCCGCCCCAGAGGAAGAGGCGCCCTTGTGCTCGCCGACGTTCACCACGAGCTTGGCGCGTGGCTCGCGAGGGTTGAGGCCGGCGGTGAGGAGGTGGCGCGCGAGCTCCGACGCGGCCATGCGCGTGATGTCGCCCGACGCGTCCGAAAGTGGCACTTTCCCCTCGCGCTTCTGCATGCGCAGCAGCTTGCGCGTCGCAGAGTTCCATCGATTCTTGATGGCGTTGTCGGTCCGGCCGGGGATGAGCTTGACGATCAGCGCCCACTTCGTCCCGTGCTCTGCCACCGCCTGCAGGATCAGCCGGTCCTGGACGCGAGGGAAGGAGGGGATGTGAGACACAGCGGATGGGGGAGCGCGCAGGAGGGGGGGGAGGGGGGGGGGGGGGGCAAAGGGCGGGCGGGGGAACAAAGGGAAAGGGGGGGCTTGGGCCCCCCTCCTCCTCGGTGAAGTTCTCCGTCTTCACCTCTGGCGAGAGATGGTTGTGCCAGCGCTCGCGGCACTGCTTGCCCACCCGGCCTGGCAAGTGCTGCGCGATCTGGGACCAGGAGGAGGGCCCGTACTGGGCCACCATCCTCAGCAGCTTGGCATCCTCCTCCGGCGTCCACACCATCTTCTTGATTGCCCGCGCAGGGTGGTCTGGTCCACACTCGTCGCCCGCCGCGGGCACCGCGTCGAAGGTCGCCTCGCCCTCGCTCTCGCTCTCGCCCTCGCCCGAGGCCGCCTCCCGCGCCGTCTCGACGTCGAGCCCGCTGCTCCACCACCGCCGCCGCCGCCGCCGCCGCCGCCGCCGCCGCCGCCTCCGCCGCCGCCCGCCGCTCCACCTCTGCCGCCGCCGCCGCCGCCGCCGCCCGCCGCTCCACCTCTGCCGCCGCCGACGCCGCCGCCGCCGACGCCGACGCCGCCGCGGCCGGGTCCGCGACCGCCCGCGCCGCCTCCACTGCCGTGTCATAGAGGCCGACGTGGACCTCCCTTCCGTGCTCGTAGCGAATCGCCACGAATTTGCCAGAGGCGTGCCTGTGCACGCCCTCGTAGCCGGTGCTGCTGCTGGAGAGGTGCAAGCGCACGCCCTCAAACTCTGACGCCGCCGGTGGTTCGCCGGCCGCCCTCGCGTAAGCCGCAGCCGCCTCCACCGCCGTGCCGAAGGAGCCAAGAAAGAGCCGCGGGCTCTGCGCGGCGAGAGGGCCAGAGGGCGAGAGGGCGAAGCGGCCAGAGGGCAGCTTGTAAACACTCTGGTAGCCGGTGCCGCTGCTGCTAGAGAGGTGCAAGCGCAAGCCTTCCGCCTCCCTCTGCAAGGGCGGCGCTGCTGGCTCGGCTGCCTCCTCCTCCTCCTGCTCAGCGATTTCCCCCGCAGCAGCCATGCCGCCGCCAGCCGCCTCCCCGCCGCCGCCGCCGCCGCCTGAAGCCTCGACCCCATCACAGCAGAGGGCTGCCGCCGCCGCCTCGACCTCTGAAGCCGCCTCCGCCGCCCGCTGCTCCACCTCTACTGCTGCCGCTGCAGCCGTCGCCGCAGCCGTCTCGGCCTCCGCCTCCGCCTTTCGCGCCGCCTCCGCCTCCGCCTCCGCCTCCGCCGCCTCCGCTGCCTCCGCCTCCGCCGCCGCCTCCGCCGCCGCCGCCGCCGCCGCCGCCGCCGCCGCCGCCGCCGCCGCCTCCGCCGCCGCCGCCTCCGCCTCCGCCTCCGCCTCCGCCGCCGCCGCCTCCTCATCCATCTGAGCCGCCGCCGCCGCCTCCGCTGCCGCCTCCTCCTCAGCCATCCGCACCGCAGCCGCCGCCGACTCCTCCTCCCCCGCCTGCACCGCCGTGGCCGCCGCCACCGCTGCCGCCGTCTCCTGTGGGACCGGCGGGCCAACAACCTCTGCAGCCGTGCTGCCGACGGGCGGCGGAGGCTCCTCGCTCGACGCGGCCGCCGAGCTAGCCGGCGCCAGGGCCGCATCCGCAACGACAGCGGAGAGCTGGTCGGCTTCGAGCTTGCATGTCTGCTTCGTCTCGTCCCAAACCATCACCAGTCCCTTCTTCGTCGCACCGCCGCGATCCGGCTTCATCTCGTGCGCGGCGATGCAGCCGCCGCAAGCGCACGGCATCGCAATGCGAAGAGTGTAGGGCTCCGGCGACGGCTCGAGGTTTCGGACCCGCAGCTTTTTGATCCAGGGGGTAGCCAGGTCCTCTTTGTCGAGCGCCCGCGAAAGCTTGCCGCTGTGGGCGAGAGACTGCCAGGAGACGGGGTCGGCCTGTGCCGTGTTGGTCTGTGCCATTGCAATTTGCAAATCAGGGAGCCGGGGGCCAGAAAATGAGTGCTCTCCTCTTGAGGGGCGAGCCGAGAACGATAGAGAGGCCGCGGATGCGGGCGCGGCTCGTTGACCAGGGAGAGCCGGCCCGACCTCCCTGGGCGGGGAGGCGACGCGACCCTATGCCACCGCCCTCGCCCGGGGAAACCTCGGCCGGGCCGTCGATACTATCGATCGGAACCGGTGGAGCCGGGAGATGCCGGCGAAGACGAAAGGCGGCAGCGGAGAAAGCGGCACCAACAACGAGGGAAACGACCATACCGGTCGTCGCATAACGCTCGGGAGACGAGCAAGAGAGCGAATCACGAACTGCGTGATGTGGGCCGTGCAAGCCTTCATTCAGCTGGTGCCAAGACATTCGTAAAATTGAAGCCAAGAACGTCCGCCAAATCCGTGCTAGGGAAAGCTGATCGAGCCCAGCGTGCCCGCGGCCGCCTCCCGCGCAGCACCGCCGCTGGGGACGACACGCTGCGGAATCGGATCGAGCCCATGCACGGGCAAAGAAGGACGCTGCAGAAGCGGCTGGAGAGGCAGCCGGCGTCTGCCGTCACAACGAGTCCCAGCGCTGGTTGGACATGCGCGTCGGCTCGCCCGAGGACTGCTGTCGCGACCCTCCCGTCGTGACGCAGCCTCCGACGAGCTCTGCAACCGAGGAGAGTGAGGGTGCGCCTCCCCTCACTGCTGGCCTGGCTGCGCACCGCCCCACAAAGCACCCCCTCGAGCATCTCTACAAGTACAAGTACAAGGGCGACCTTCGCCAAGTCGTCAACACGCCCGGCGGCTCCGGCAAGACTTTAGCCTTGGCCACCCTCCTTGCGGAGCAGGAGAAGATCCGCTCTCGGTCGGCAACGTGGCAGCTAGTCGAGAGACTCGGTAGTTGTGACCCCCCTCTGTGCTCTGAGTGAGGACAGGAGAGAGAGAGCTTTTGTGGTGTTGGTGTACGCAATAACGGGACAGGGTAGTCGTTCTCTCTAGCTCCCCTTCTAGCTCTTAGCATGAGCTGCGCCCTGTGTCCGACCCCTTTTGCGCAGCAACACCTTAAACTTTTAGGCCCTCCAAATTCGGGTCGGAGCGTAGCGGAGTGGGCCCCGAGTTTGAAAAGGGCGACGGACGCTTGCGTCCTAGCCAGAGGGGCCCCCGGAGGGATGCTCAACCGCTCCACGCCACGCCGCTTGCGGCGGTCCTATTCCCAGCTCCGCTGCACGCTATTTTTCTTTTTTCCGCATACACCTTGCTAGCCGCGCGCGTTTGTGTGGCGCTGGCAAAAAACATGCGGTGCGCAGCGCCGCTACACGGTGGCCAACAACTGGAGCAGCGCCGCTACGCCGACAACACCCAGCGGGTCGCTCGTACATGGCGTCTCCACTCTGCTCGGTGAGCGCGAGCTCTGAACGGCCCAAAGGCAAGGGCATCGTCGAGGTACAGCCGCGGGTGACAATTCACTCCGTCAACGAGATCGACGTCAAGGCGCAGACGTTCGAGATGGATCTGCAGGTCGAGCTGCAGTGGAAGGATCTCGGCTGGCTGGAGAGAATGGAGCAGCCGGACTGGATGGCGGCGGCCAAGGAGCTCGGCTGGCAGGAGCAGATGCGGAAAACCTGCTGGCACCCGGGCCTCGTGCTCCGAAACTGCAAGGAGAAGCGCGACGACGCGGAGGTCTGGTTCCGCGTCGACAGGAAGGAAGAGGTGCACGATGCGCAGGACCGCCGCATCTACTTCATCGCTCGCGTGCACGCCGTCTTCCGCACCAAGTACAGGCTGCACAAGTTCCCCTTTGACATGCAGTGGCTGACGGTGCGCATGGGCTCGTCCTTCGAGTTCGTGCGCTTTGTGCGGCAGGGCGTCTCCAATCAGGCGGAGAAGCCGGACTTCCTCGACCGCGCGGCCTTCATCCTCGAAGAGTATCGCCCGCCGGATTACGTCTGTGTGGAAGCCAAACCTGCGGACAAGGCGGCGAGCTCATCAGCCATCCGGTATCAGGACCTGAACATCAAGGTTGCGGTGCAGCGCAACCACTGGTACTACCTGACGAACGTGTTCCTGATCGACTTTGCGCTCGTCGGCTCGTCGCTCTTCGTGCTGCTGGTGCCTCCCGCACAGTTCGAGGACCGGATGGGCCTCTCGCTCACGCTGCTGCTGACCGCCGTCGCCTTTAAAGAGCTCGTCAACACCTACCTGCCGCAGATCTCCTACTCGACGATCCTGGACAAGTACGTCCTCGCCGGATTCATCATGCAGGTGCTCGTCGTCGTTCAGAACGCCGTCGCAAAGGTCGAGGCTGGCGAGCACGACATCCTGGCGTTCTCGGACACCATGGGCTTTCCCCTCCTCTTTGCGTACCTCGTCGGCTACCATCTCTACTTTCTGTGCGAGGCGTGGCGAGCCACGCGGGAGGACGCCGAGTACTGGGTCCGCAAGGCAGGGGAAAGATCCTTTGAGGGGCAGGACCGGAAGGAGGCCTACAGGTGGCACCGCGTGCATGACGTGCCCCCTCTGGAGAAGGAGGAGGAGGAGGAGGACGTTGACGAGCAGCAGCAGCAGCAGCAGCAGCAGCAGCAGCAGCAGCAGCAGCAGCAGCAGCAGCAGAGCAACGAACCGCGAGAACGCGTTGAGCGAGCACCCGTCCAGCCGCAGAAGAGGGGACGGCAGCTGCGAGCAGCCAACCCAACGAGGCTGCTCCGGTCGGTGTCGCCGAGGTTTATCCGGCCCGCGCCAAACCCGTACGTGCAGATGCCAGATCAGGGCTGATTTTATTTACGGTGGAGACGGCTTGACTGTAGGGTAGGGTACGTTACTGTCGACTGTGGACTCTAGTCTTTTAGCCATAGTAATTAACGCGTATTACAACCACGAGCTCGGACACCTGCGACACCTGCGTGGCTGTGGTGATCTCGTTCCGCATAGATGTTAGATCATACGTGCGTACTGTAGTGTGTAGACAGAGAGCCGCGTGTACAACTGAACACGGTACTAAGCCTTCCCCTTCCGGGCTTCCACAGAGCGTCCGGGCGCAATAATTTACCAAGCATCAAGCGTCTGCGTCGGCGCCGCGCGGCCGCCATGCGAGCAGCGATCCGATGCTGCTGGCCGCGCTGGCGCCCGCGCTCGACACGGCGGACCAGCCGCTCGTCACCGCGGAGCCGGCGGCGCCCAGCGCCGTCGCGTTTGTCCAGTTGGCGAGAGCGCTCGGGCCCGCGGCTTGCTGCGCAGACGAGAGCCCGCCGCCGACCGCGCCGAGCCGGGACATCACAACCTCGCCCACAGAGATGAGGCCCTTGAGCGCGGGGGGCATCGCCTGCGGCGTCAGCAGCGCCGCCTTGAACTCTGCGAGCGAGATCTGGCCGTCGCCGTTGGCGTCCACGGTCTGCAGCAGCGCCTCCACCTCCTCGAAGGAGGGCGCCTTGCCCGCCTTTGCCAGCGCGCCGCGCAGCTCGGCCACGTCGATGAAGCCGTCGCCGCTCGTGTCCACCTCGCGGAAAAGCGCCTCCGCCGTCGCCTCGTCCGGAGCAAGCCACTCGCCAGAGTCGAGCCAGTCGAGCCGCAAGTCGAGGGAGACCTTGGAGGGTGAGGGTGAGGGGAGGGTGAGGGTGAGGGTGAGGGTGAGGGTGAGGGTGAGGGTGAGGGTGAGGGTGAGGGTTAGCAAGTCGAGCCGCAGGAGACCTTGGAGAGGTCGAGGGAGAGGTCGTCCGTCAGGTTGGCCAGCCTGCGGGCAGTCGGTAGTCGTGTGAGAGCCGCCCGTCATACATGCGGATGCACATGTCCGCTTCCGTCAGCCCGGCGAGCCTCGCAGGCAACGCCTCGAGGAAGGAGCGGTAGCTGCCGCCGCCCGCCGCCTCCTCCGCCCTCGGCTCCTTCTCTGCCGACGGCGACGACTCGGCGAGCGCCATCTCCGCCTGCAGCAGCGGGTCCGTCACGGCGAGGCGCCGCAGTTGCGCCGCGGGCAGCACCGTCGCGTGCAGCGACCCCGGCCGGAAAGCAGGTAGCACCACCTGAGTCAGTCAGTTCAGAAGAAGGCGAATTCGAAAGAGTTTGCGGTCCCGGCCGGACAGGGGAGCAGCACCACCCGGCGAGGCCACGCGAGGCTCTCGAGCAAAGCCGCCTGGGTGCAGCAAAGAGCACGCAACCTTTCGTTGATGGGACTGCGTGCCAGGCAAGCCTCTCTCGAGCGGGGCCGCCTGCAGCGAGTTTTGCAGCTCCGACCGCAGCCACGGGATGGCGGTCACCTAGACACTTCCTAGACACTTCCTAGACACTTCCTAGACACTTCCTAGACACGGGATGGCGGTCACCTCGCCGCCCGCGACGCGGCAGTCAAGAGTCAGCTCCGGCGGCGACGGCAGGGAGCAGAGCACCGCGCCATACCTAACAGAGAAAGGGCGCGCTCGAGAAAAAAGAAAAAAAGCCGAACAGCAACCAGAGGGCCGCGCCGCACCCCGGCTCCGCGGCGCACAGGTTCGTCACCACCAGCCGCACCGCGCCGTCGAAGCAGATGTTGCGCAGCGCCACCGGCACGCGCGCACCCACGCCGACACGCAGCTCTAGCTCGGCGGACAGCTCGGCCACCTACAGCCGAGATGCATCCGAGGTCTGGGAAGCGTCTAGGAAGTGTCTAGGAAGTGTCTAGGAAGTGTCTAGGAAGTGTCTAGGAGCTCGGCGACCTACAGCCGAGAGGCATCCGAGGTGCCTCCGAGGTGCCTCCGAGACTGGAGCGCGGCGGACAGCCGGCAACCATCTCCGACGGCCACCGGACGTCAAAGTCGAACGCCATCGCCATCGGCCCGAGATCGTACGCCCGCGCGGCCAGCAGCTGCGGCGGCGCACCCCCGACCGAGAAGGAGCGGAGCTCGAGCGCGCGTAGCGTGCGCTCGCCCTGGCTGAGAGCGCGGCGGCCGGCCTGGCAGGGGCGTGGGAATGGGCGTCACTAGGAGGGACGAGGAGGGCGTGTGGGCTGGTGCCGCCGGAGGAGTGCCGAGGTCCCGCCACCGAGTGTATGTGAGCTGCACCAGTGCAATACTGTTGCGAGACAGTACGTGTGTGTGCAAGACAGCTTCGTGAGACGAGTGTCTCTATGCAAGCCTCCTGGTCTGGGCCGGGCTCGGGCGGCGCGCTCACAGACGAGAGCACGCCGACAAGCGCCTCGCGCAGCACCGCCTCGAGCCGCAGCGGCGTGACACGGTCGAGCACGTACTGCAGCGCCACGAGGGCGGGCCTGGGACGTGTCGGGGACGTGTCAGGGAGGTATTAGGGAGGTATCAGGGAGGTGTCCTGCAATAATGCAGCGAGACGAGTGGCGGCAATGAAAATGGCGGGAGAGTGTGCTGACCGTCCGAGGACGGCGGAGTAGAGGGAGCGCTCCATCTTGAAGGCCTCGACGCCCTCCGCCGTGGTTCGGCCGACCTCCCGCAGGCCCGCGCGGAGGATGGCCCACGCCTCCGCCCACCGCGAGCGAGATGCGGTGAGATCGCACTCGCCCTCGTCGGCAGCCTCGCAGCCCGGAAGCCTGCGACGCAGCAGGGCCATGCACGCCGCGCCGAGCACTGAGCGGACGATTCGCAGTGAGCGGCGGAAGACGGAAAGGAGGAGACCCCTCGGTGCTGGTACTCTTGTGCGGAACGACCCGGCGGCGGCAGAGGCGGCGGCGGTGGTGGCTCCGCCGAGCGCAAAGGCGCCGACGAGAGGCCACAGGCGAGCAGGCAGCTCGAGGCCGCCAAGCGCGCAGACGGCGGCGCGGCTGCGCTGAATCCTAGGCACCGGGCTGACGATTGCCGCGTTGGATGGGCGCACTGCTGTGCATCTCCCAGGGCAGAGGCTGGCGAGACCCGTCTGAAGTAGCACCAGAGTAAGCATGTGTTTTTGTGTGAGCATGTCGGTACTTCGTCAATCAGAAATGTGGTCGTTGCGCGAGGGGAGCTCGATAGACTTGAGGGGCCAGGATACGCCGCGAGGAGGACGGAGTTGCGCCGAAAGGCGAAAGAAGCCGCGAGAACAAGGGACCGGCAGGCGGCGGCGCCGCAGGACGAGGCAGAAGAGAACGACGCGACAGAGGAGGAAGTGACAAGGGAGAGAACGACGAGAGTGGGACGGCCGCGAGGTGGCATGAAGGTTGCAGCGAGAAGCGGCGAGAGACTGCGAAAAGAGATACGAAGAGGCAGACTCCCCAGGGTGGGCGACGGCTAGCGCATCACACTCCTCTCCTTAAAATCCCTGTGTGGTGGCGGCGTGCCGTTCTCCCATCCCTCCCTTGGGTTGTCTGTTTTCTTTCTTTCTTTCTTCAGAAACTCCCTCGGACGACACTAGACACCGTTCTCCCATCCGGAGCTGCCCGATCCGGTCGCGTCATATCACTACCTCGACGGCGAGGTCTTCTACCTGTACCGCCTGGCCATCACTGACATGCAGGCCTGCATGTACCACGACGAGACGAGCGCGGCGTTCCGCGCGCTCCAGGCTCGCCTCGACGGATTCGCGAAGGCCCTCATGGAGGCGGAGGAGGGATCGAGCGGTGGGGAGGATTGACATCCCCATCCACCCGCAGGCCCCACTGAAGCCCCACCCATCGCTCCACGCTGGCCCACCGCTCCCCATCGCAATCAACCCAGTCGCGGGCGCAAGGCCGGGCGCTGGGTCCACCTCTAGATGCATGCGGTCCTGCAGCCGGACGCCCCAAACCAAGTCCCAAACCAAGCCCTGAGCCCTGTGAGCCTCTGAGCCTTTTTTTTGTTAGCTGGTAACAACGAAATGAGTCAAAGGGCTCAAAGGGCTGAAAGGGCTGAAAGGGGTCAAGCCAGACAGAGGACACCCACACCAAAAGCGAGACGCCACAGGCGCAAACAGGGGCACCGGATCCTTCTCAAACGACGCCGGGCTCTATACGCTCGCTGCCGGGGCGGACTTGTGCATGGGATGCGGAAGAACCCATGTCGGCGGGAGCATCAGAGACCTCATCAGAGACAGGTAAGGTAAGGTAAACGTCTCCACACACACAAAGTGGTGGGGCAAGGGGGGGCGACCCTCGCATCTCCACGCCCGGACACGGGCAGGAGCCCCACGGCATTCAAAGTGCAAGCACCGGCCCGGTGCCGTGGGTGAGCAACCTGCACCCCACTCCCTCCCTCCCAGACACAACCCGCACAACCCCCACAGCGTGGACGACTACGTGTTCAGAAACACCAAGCAGCGAGGCGAGGGTGAAGGGGTAAGGGGCTGTGTGGGGCAGAATCTACATCTGACTACTCCATCTAGCCTGGGGGGTCGGAGGAGGGGGGGGCAGAAAGGGTAAGATATGGTTGAAGCCAGCTGCTAGCGGTCGGACGCCCTGTCGTCGGAATACTCCTCGGAGCCGGTGTCCTCGTCGTCGTCCTCGCCCGACGCGGAGATCGGGCGAGAGGTCTGCATCGCCTCGCCGGCTGTGAACCTGAACACGGCGTCGGCCGGCGCCGAGGCGCCGGCGGCCGTCATCAGGTGCATGACGAATCTGTCGCGGCATGCCGCATCTATCTCTCCATACTCGGCATCAGAGACAGAGGATGCAAGTTAAAGATTCGTTTTGGGGCTTGTCGGCGTGCACTCTTACCTCCCCACCACCACTGGCGACCGGGCGGGGAATCTGAGTGGACAAAACTTATGGCTTAGTGCAAAAAATATATGGATCAGTAACTCGCCTCAGGCGGGCCCCCCCGCTATAGTCAACCTCGCTGAATGCCGGTCCGCCGTCCGTGTGCCATGTCTCGACCTTGAGGTACGGCAGCTGGTCAACGAAGTAGAGCTCTGTGGTGGTTGCGGGCCCACTGTTCGCGGGCCCACTGTTGGCCGCCTTGCGCTTGCCATCATCACCGCCTCCCACCTGACTCGTTGGGCAGGGTGGGCACGCAGGGAAGCTCCACGGAGCGGACGGCCGCGAGGCGTTGGCGGCGGCGGCGCGCGCACGGCGCCGCTCCGCGTCCCGCTCCCGGGCGATATCCTCCCATTCTGTCGCCAGCTCAAACCCGCCGCCCGCCGTTGCCTCCCATTCTTCCACATCGCCCGCCGGCGGTAGCTGAACGTTGCACGGTGATGACGGCACTTCTAGCACGATTGGTTGTGATGCAGGCGGATGAGGCGTCGGCGGCGGAGGAGAGGACGGCGGCTCTTCCAAGCACACGCGAAAGGTTGAATGGAGGTCCCTCACAGAGCTTAGCGTTCCGCGCCGGAGCACGCTCTCCCGGAATAACAAGCGGCAGCACGGCGTAGCGGTGAAGCCCATAGGTAGCTGCTGGAGAGCTGGCGTCGCACGAGAGCACTTGCGCCTCCGAGGGGCAGTCGCACGGAAGGACGGTGCCGTTGGCGCTTAGGGAGCGCGCTGCGGACACGCAGGCGTTGTTGCGATGGAGCATGGTGGCGCACTCGTCAGTGCAGAGCACAAGCTCAGACCAGGGCTTCCTCTTGCCAAAGCTCGCCTTTGCGGTGCCACGCAGGATCTGGATCGAGTCGAAGCCGTGCGACCGAGCCAGCACACACCAGAACTTATCCCCAGGGTTGTGAGTACACAGCGGATTGGCGGAGGAGCGGGATCCGTACATCAGCGCGTGCACATCGCAGCGCGAGCGCACACGTAACGATCGTCCAACGTTGACGTACGCCCCCGACCATCTGGAGGCGTTGCCCGCGGTGTAGAACCAGCAGCCGTAGTTGACGGGTGCGTGCTTGCCCGAAGCGAGCGACGCGTTCACCGCAGGAATGCGCCTGCCTAGGTTGTCGTACCCACCTTCGGGGTCGCCGAAGCCAGGGCAAAATCCATCACATCCCATCAGAGAGAACTTCTCACGTGACCTGTCGAGGTGTCTCTGCGAGTTTCGAGGCAGCGATGAATCCGTTGAGGACGGCAGTGCCTGGTGCGGCGGCATTCGGCCTGGCCACAGCTGTTGGCCTGGCGCCATCCTCATCACGCCAACCCAGGCGTGATCTCGCACCATGCCTCGCACCATGCCACCGTCGCATGCGATCATAAGTGCCGTGCCGAGGTATGAGCCCGGCGGGCATTAGTTATTCGCCTCCCGCGTGAGTTAAATCTCCGAGCTGTTGTTCTTTTTCTCTGGTACCTGTGTTAGTGCCAGTGCGCGCCAGTCCCGCCTGCCGTTAAAAAACACTCACGTCACTCACTCTCACGTGACCGCTAGTAGTGTCATCCCCAGCTATGGCCTATGGGCGATGGAGCGGCAACCGACGTTTTGTAATCCCCGGTAGTATCCAGGATACTCACTCACTCACGTAGAAGGGATACATCTCGGTCAAGCAGATTGACGAGGGCGCAAAATCCCAGCAGATTGACGAGGGCGCAAAATCCCTTATACTAACTCTCCGAAAAGAAATCGCAGCACACCCGAGGGATTTCAATCGTGGTCTGTGGCCCTGTGGTACCCGGGTAGTGATTGTGGAGTGGCCGAGGCCAGCTGGCCGAGGCTGAAGCCCCAAATACCGAGCGTCTCACCGTGTGACGATGTCGTGCCCCGAGTTTGAAGCGATGGGGAAGGTACGCACCACCTCCCGCCGTGCCCACGCACCTTTGATCCGATTCTTGCACAGCTGTGAGCGCTGCCCTTTGCCTCACCTCGCAGTACGCTGGCAAGTGGGTCGATGAGGGCAACGGAGATTGCGGGTACACCATGACCGAGAACTGCCTTTGCTAACGTGCATCTGCTTCACCTACAAGGGCTGCCCGTACTCCGGGTCGAATGCCTGGAGCTCGGCACGGGGTGCATCATGGGCCCTTGCATCGGGCTGACGTACAAGGACGAGACGATGACGCTCCGCTGGCTGTGCTGCCCCGCGGACACGTACAAACGCGCCAGTCCCAGCTACGGCGGTCCCCCGCCTGCCGGCGAGATGGCTCGGTGACTCCCGCGGGCCACGTCGAGACGTGCAGTACAGTCGAGCGGTACAGCAGCCGCGACACCGTAGTACGCTCGGCGGTGTAGAGAGGCGCCTCTGGTAAGAGGGGGTGGTACGGCTTTAGCTGGTACGGGGTTGCTCCCAACAGGGCAAGTGGCGCGTTCCGCACTGTGTGACTGTACAGTCGTTTCAGAGTCAATCGTCGGGCTTAACACTGACAAAAGGCGATCAACTCTCTACAGTACGCACGCCCCCACCAGCACCTGTGCCCTGCACCTGACCCCGAGCCCGACGCCGAGCCGACACCTCTGGGGACGAGACGGAGAGTGGAGAGAGGCAGAGCCAGGGAGGGTGACGAGAAACTAGCAAGCCAAACGCTCTGACGCGATAAGCACAGATGCCGCGCTTGCCGCTTGAGTGGCGGCTGGCGGACTCGGCAGGAGAGTGGCCCTAGGGCGGCTACTCTCCAGGCTAGTCGTGCACGCATGTCGGGCATCGGATTCGGCACGTCGTGGCTGGCCTCAAGAGCTGGGTCAGACCGGGCGGCCGATCGGAACCGCCTCGACGGGCTCCGCGACTCCGACGGGCGCCACTCGTGCGACGGCGTCGATCTGGGGGTAGATTGAGGCGGGAGTCACCTGACAGGACGGCTGTCTCAGGTGACGGCTCAGGGACACGGCTGGCCGTGCCGAGGTAGAGGCGGAGGGCGTCTCGCCGTCGTCACGGTCGGCACGCCGCCGGCCGGTGCGGCGGTGTGGAACCTAGTGTGTGAGTCCAGGCACGTGAAGGTGTGAGCAGGCCATCTCGCACCACAAGCCCGCGCCTCATCCGCACGACCAGTGTGCGTCATGCATCCGGTGTCATCCCTCATCTACGTGCGCGGCACATCGCGCGCGACGGCTCTGTCGCCATCGGGACCGCCACGGCGCCGACGACCGGGCAGCCGCCGCCTCCCACGCACCCGCACCCGCCCGCGGGCGGCATCGGGGTGGTCACGTCTTGCGATGCGAGCGACGCGCCAGACGACTGCAGGTACTGCGACGACTGCACGCGGGCGCGCTTGCCGCGGCTCGCGCGGCGGCGGAGGCGCAGCACCAGGCAGCCGGCGGCGAGGGCGAGCAGGAGGAGGGGTACCCCGACGGCGGGCCGGAACCAGAGCCTGAAGGCAGGCCGTGGAGACGTGCTACGCGCCGTGTCTTCCGGGCACCGCGTGAACACAGTGAACACACAGCTGGGTGCAGCCGAGGACGTGTCACTCTCGAGTGTCGCTAACCGGTACACGCCGCAGTCTGTGTCTGCACATCTAGGGGCTTGAGCCAGAAGAAGGCCGTGACGAGGAGGGAGGTGGTGAGCGCGGCGGCGAGGGCGGCGAGGGCGAGGAGGCAGCCCGCGAGGTCGCCTGTGACTCCTCAATTCATGATGAGCGGGCGAGGGCGGCGAGAGAGACCGAGGCGGACCGAGCTCTCCGATGGCGGGTCCGATGCACGAGACGAAGTCGGGCGCGATCGCAATCGGCCGCGTAAACAGGACGAGACCGAGCCAAAACAGGAAGAGCGAGAGGAAGCGGAGGGCCCAGACCTGGCCAGCCGCCTCAGCGTGCAACGCGTCGAAAAACTCGTCGAGCGGGACGGCGCCCTCGCGAAGCTCGTTGAGCGTCTGCTTGAGCCCCGCAACCTTTGCCCTGACGCCCGACCGCCACGGCACCATCACGCCGCCCGCGCCGACCGCAGCGAGCACTGACGCCTCTGAAGCGGCGCTGACGGCCCAGCGCACGCGCGTGTCGCCCACTCGAGGCCCGCCTATACGGGGGAAGGCTCCGAGAATACTCCAAGGGGATCCGAGAAGGTTCCGAGGAGGCTGCCGCCCTTGCTCTGACCTGGCGGCGCACTCGTCGCCCAAGCGCCGTCCCAGCGGCAGTTTCGGGGCAGGAGCGAGGCGAGGGGCAGCGTCGCGGGCTCGCCTCGCAGCACCTCTGAAGCCGGCGTGAGGGGGCGACGGGATTTGAGCTGCCCCAGCTGCGCGCTGTTCAGCCTCGCCGCCTCGCCGACGCGGATTGCGCCGGACAGCGCCGTCTGCTTGCCGCTCAGCGGCGACCCCGGAAGGGGCGGGTTGCAGTGGCCCTGCCCTGCATGGCACGCCGTCGAAGGCATGCAAGGGTCCGTCGGACGGCTCTGGTCGCAGTTCTGTGGAGACGGCTGAGCGGTGGAGAACCAGCGACTCTCATGCGAGTGCCAAGTGACGGTTGTGCTCCCTCCTCCGACCGCGTCCTTCCGCGTCTCCGAGTGGCGCACCTCTCTCCACTGGTACATCTCGACCGCCGTCTCAAACCACGCGCCAGTCCTAGGCCCGCTGAGTTGGAAATCGCCCGCCGGCCACTCTGGAAGGCCGGCCAGTTGGCAGCCCTCAAGGAAGACGAGCGAGCCGTCCTGCGGTAGGCTCGCCGCGTCGCACGGATGCTCGTCCACCACCTCGTAGGCGTGCTCGAGCACCTCGAGACCAGAGATATAGGCCCCTTCGTTCCAACCGGCGAGTAGAAAGGTCAGAAGGTAAATCGCGACGCCAAAGAGCGAGCCGCAGAGGCCACCGCACATACGGCTGGCGAGGGACTGGTGGGTCACGTACGTCATGGGAGTTGGTTGGGAGGCGAGGGTGCCGCGGCGCAGGTGGGCTTGTTCGGCCCGGACAGCGGCAAAAAAGAATGTTACGCGCCACGGTGTACTCGTAGATAATAGTCGTGTCCCTTGTCAGGAGCAGGAGAGCCCCACCTGTCCCCCTGATCGTCCTTCCAAAATCCTGCTCGTGGGGACCCTGTCCTCGTCCCATCCCTCATTTGGCGTGTCTGTTTTCTTTCCTTTTTAATAATAGTTAAAATCCCTGTGTGGTGGCGGCGTGCCGTCCTCCCATCCCTCCCTTGGTTGGTCTATTTTCTTTCTTTCTTTAGATAATAGAATTTTCGCCCGAGACACGGAGTTTGAAAGGTCCGTTTCTCCCCCCTTCTCTTCACATGCACACAGGAGTGCGAGGGCGGGGAAGGCGAGGCACGGGCGGTCGCGGAGATGGAAGGGGCGGGGGAGTCGATCTCGATGGCGAGCGCGACAACCCCACGCCGCGCCGAAAAGCGCCCTCTCGAGGCAGCCAAGGCGCCACCGCCGAAGCGGCGTTCGAGCGAGATTTCGGCTGTGCCCTCGCCCCTCTCTGCCTCCTCCGCCTCCGCCCCGGCGTCCCCCTCCTCCTACGGCGCCTCCTCCGGCGCAGCCTCCGCCTCCAGCGCTGCCTCTTCACCCCCGAGCCGCCTCTTCAAGCTCCTGCCGGACGGGCGCACCGTCCACCGGGAGCCCCCTCTCCCCACGGGAGGCATCGCGGCCGTCGCCGAGGCTCTAGCGCGGATCGGGCTGCAGGCCTACGCTGCCGCCTTTGACGCCGAGGGGTATGACGACATCGCGTACTTACGCGGATTAGACGCCGCCGAGCGGGCCGAGGTGGCAACGGAGACGGACATGAAGCCCGGGCACGCGGGCAGGTTTGTCAAGTTCGGCTTTGGGGAGACCTGACAGACATGAGTTGGGGAGGTGGGGGGGGGGAGTGTGCTTGCGCAGTCCGTCCCGCTCTTACGGCTGCGCTCTCTTGCCCAGCCACACGCCTCTAGCTGTTCTTCATCATGAAGGTGTAATTAATCATCTCGTCTCCCGGGGAGAGCCACGCCACGGCCCACGCACCGCGCATCCCGCTCAACCCCGCTCACTCAAGTCTCATCTGGGGCAAAAACGAAATATCATGGCTGTCTTCCCTCTACTAGTCCACGACTTTCTCGCCCTCTGCCACAGGAAACGTAGATAGAAGATACGTAGTGTCACCGCCCGCCCTAGGCAGGACCCTGCCCAACCTGTACCGTCTCGACCGTGTACCACTTGTACGTGCCTCTCTGCGAGATCCGCGAGAGAGACGTCCCCCCCCTCCCCTCACGCGCGCCCGCTCTTGCGTCGGGCGGCGTCGAGCCGCCGCATCGCGTTGGCCAAAGCAGCTGCGTGGTTGTGCAGCAGCGGCGGCTCGCCCGCCGTGGCGCCGGCCGCCGCGCCGATCTTCTCGCGCTCCGCCGTCAGCCGGGCCACCTCCGCCTCCGCCGCCTCGAGGCTCTCCTCGCCCACGCCGGCCACCGCACCGCCGCCCATCGCACCGCCGCCGCCGCCGCCGCCGCCGCTGCCGCCGCCGCCGCCGCCGCCTCCGTCTCCAGCGGCCGCGCTGCGCGTGAAGCCGAGCAAACTCTGCCCGCCCCTCTTCTGGCTTGCGGGCTC